CTACATCAGCGCTTCGCTGCATGTGAGAACCGGCCTTAAAGGGTATACCTCGAATCGACGTTGAACCGACCTCGGCCAAATGACCAGAAACGCATCACGCCACCGAGATCTAAGTCGGTCCTTAACTGCGTATCACGAAGGACCCTTTTCTCTGCTCTCGTTGAAGACCCTGGCGAGGCCACTCGAAACTGCTCGCGAGACACGCGGCATTTTATCGCCGACTAATTGTTCCCCGAATCCTGGCGTCGCGAGTGCGGGGGGGAGTTACGTGGGCGAGGTGTAGTACATGAGGAGGGTCGAGTGGCTATGGACGATAAAAGATCCGTTAACTGTAACTGAGCTGGCCAAGGCCATCTCGGGGAAGATACGTGCTCCAGGAAGAGCAGTCACGTCATAGGTCGGAGCATGTGGGCTCGAGTGGGGAATGTAGCTTTATCTTGCATGTCGGCTTTCTCGCCGGGAAAGTAGTGTAAGCTATATCTATCGTCTTCAAAAAATGCAGCGTGAGAAAAAAACAAAAGTTAGGAATGTAATTCAATTTTTATTTTTCGACAATTGGGGAAAAGGTTTATTTTAACCGCGGCGGGTTGCTTCTGCAATTCATAACACGAGAAAAAAAAAAAAAAAGTCCGAATTCGCGGCTTTCGTTTTCCTTATAGGCGGAAATTCCCTACATTTTTTTTCTCGTCAAAATTAAAAATGCGACTCCTTTTGCCTGCACGATTTGAGATAGTCTACGATCAAGCAAGGGGAAAAAGTATAAGTTATGACGGATTTTTCCACGAAGGCCACGGTGTCCACCTCGAGAAGAACAGGGGCACGTCGCAAGGCCATGACCGTGAGATGAACTAACCTGGGAAGAATACGACAGGAGCGAATAATTTAACAAACGATCAAGATCAAGACACCACGTATTTCTGGCTTCACGCCAACCATATGCCACAAAAGTGGTTTTGCCTAAAATAATAACATTTCTTTTTTATTTACTTATATATGAGGGTATATCGCCGTTCCAGTAATATTGTGTCAAACCATTATCCGAGATATTCATTTAGTAAAAAAATTTCTCGTAACAAGTATTTTTTTAAGACTTCTTTTCGTGACATTTTTATAGCGATTAAAAAAAGCTAAGTTAGTGAGATTTTCGAAAGGACTGACGAAGGACCTGGCCAGGTCCCGAAACGTTTCCAACTTGAATTCCTGTGTTCGCCACAGAAGAACCAAACCATCAAAGGCAATACTATTTTGAATATTATTACTCGCAAGAGCTTGTTTTTCCTCCCAGGTTATGCAAAGAACAGGTGCACTGCGCAACACAGTGCAAACACGGCTTCTCCACTTTTTTTTTTTTAGACGGACGGTGCGATGCAACACAGTGCTAGCACGGGTTCTGCGCTTCTTACCTTTGTTGTGTTTTCTTTTAGACGGACGTTGCAACGATCAAATTTGACTACCTCTAGGATTGATGGCAGGTATGAGGATATTCGACCGCTTGTAGATTTTATGGCAGCTCCTTTTTCTTTTTCTTTTGTTCTTGCACGAGAGGGAAGAAAAATGACAGTCGCTTGTTCCAGGTAACTATGTGCAGCATGCACACTAACGCTTCGGTCCCACTTTGAACGGTCCGCAAATATTGGCTTCTCAACGTATCGCGTTAAGATTTACTACAGAGGTGCGGCTAGGTAGTGCACGCTCGGGGTGAAAATATCAACGGATGAGCTTGCCTTGTTCAAAAAAGAAAGGAAAAAACTGTTTTTCGCTATTTGCCGCGTCATTTGCAGACGGCGTTATGACCGGGCTCGACTAGTTAAAGGGATTGTCCGGTCAAATTTTATAATCGAGAAAACAATCGGATATCATTGTTATTGCTCCGAGACTCATCGTACATGCAATATCTGAATATTATATGCCCCTCTGCGTGAGTAATTGAATTTATACTGCTCCAATCGCATTCTAACGTAAACGCTGCTTTCGTTGGCAACATTATTGACACTGGCGAAATTCGGGGTGCAGTTTCGTACATAGGCTCATGAAACGTTTAATTAATAACGGGAGATAATATATCAAAATAAAAATGACGTTTGTCTACATGAAGGCTCCCTCGACGTAACGAGCGCAAGAACTTAAGTACTTCCGGTTTGGACCGAACAATCCCTTTAAATCTGCCACCGACAGATGGCGGAAGCGTCGAGCGCGCCGGCATAGTGAAAAGTTTCCGAAGATCTTCGGGATCGCCTGCTAAGCTCGGTGCCGGCGCGCTCGACACTTCCGACATCTGTCGGCGGCAGTTTAACTAGGCGAGCCCGGTCATGACGTCGTCTGCAAATGACGTGGCAGATAGCTAAAAACAGTTCTTGTTTTTCTCGACCAAGGTAAGCTCATCCATTGACATGTCCACCGCGCAATACAAAAAAATAAATAAATAATAATAATGAATGAGCAAGTTTGGTTACAGGGAAGCTACGGAGGTTCTTGAAAAACATGACTTCCAACCCATTTGTTGCGCAACTATTGTTAAACGCGAGAAAACGCGAAAGACAGTCACTGTACGTGACGTCGTTGACATGGCTGCCCAAGACTAGGTAGGCGGGGCTTCAGCCTTATTTTGAAAGTGCTCTTATGACTCTCCGGCGCGTCGCATTAAAACATAATTATGATATCTGTTATTTTAAGGGCGAAATGAACGCAATTCAAGTGTATTTTCTCAAATGTAGAGCTGCCCCATCTTCCCTTTAAGCACAGACCTGTGCCCACCCCCAATTCGAGCTCGAAACTGAACAATTGTAATACAACGCTTTAACCCTAATGATTAGGTGATGCTTAATCACTTTCCTTAATAACAGACGACAGCCGAGGTATACAAATAATAGAGCTGGGCGTCGATTAAAAATTTTAACCCGAATAATTGCAACCTTTAATCTATTTATTAATCGACTAAACGGTTTCGTTACTTTCCCTGCATAATTTTATTAGAACATTAAATTAAATTGTTTATGCTGATTAGGGTGATATACAAAGCAATATAACAATTTCGATTATCAATCAACCTCGAAGTGTAGTTAAGAACTGTAAAAAAAAAAAAAAAAAAGAACACTTATACTCACAGATTTTTACTTCAGCGGTTGTTGTTGTAAGCGTTGAAATGAAATTATGGATAGAAAATAGAGTCAACATTGTAACTTCAGCGGCATGAGGCAAAGGGGTTCGTTGGTATTCTCCGGCAAGAGTGACCCCTTTTGATTGTTTGTTTTTGTCTTTTTAGACATAGGCTAGGTGGCGCAAGCTACCGCCCGTTACAAAGGGTATAGCCATTAACCTCCATTCATCCATCCGTCCTTCACAATAGTCTCTACGGCGCTAAACGAACACTAACACAGCGTTGAAGTGGCCGGGAGACGTGGAACTTTCTGCACTTCTCTGGCAATACAAATCTCGCTCATTACGTTTACGTTAAAAGGTCGCCTAAACTTCGCCCTTCATAACAGGCGTACCCGTCCACGTCTGGGTGGTGAAAGCATTTAATTTTTAGTTTCTTTTGGTTCGACAAAATTTGACTGATTAACCGGCTAAAAAAATGTTGAATCGCGATTAAAGCATTAATCGATTAATCGGTGGGTTAATCGATAAATTAGCCAGCACTAATAAATTACAGAAACAAATATAGGCGAACTGGTGTACGTCTGCTAATACTAGAAATCCGAGACAAAGTAACAAAAATTTAATAATACGGTGTGCGACTTTTCCGTGTCTGCTCCTGGACTCGAGTTTGCGACTTATACGCTTGCCGAAATACGTACCGTAAACCATCGGGGGCTCACAGTGAAACAAAAATATTGGCATTAGCCTAGTCGGCGTTCTCGCCATTTTGAAGCAAGGTCAAGCTCATACTCCATTTCACCTTAAACCGGGGTCACGCTGCTTATACATAGTGTACAAAAGACAGCCTGCATACCGATTCGAACGCGAGCCACGCGCGATATCCGTGGTTCGAATGCCGCACGGCAATGAGTCCAAGGAGAAAAGTTGGCACGCGGCATTCGGACCACGGATATTAGGGTGACTCGCGTTTGCATACTGTCTGTTGCAGGGTGTAAGATAGACAGGTGGGGAAACGACCCATAGAAGCCTACCGCAGCGCCGTGACCGGATTGTGTGCTCGTCTGCTTGCGGGTACCCCCGATTTGCGACAGATGGCGCTGCAGCGAGAAAAAAAAAAATGGAATTGGATTTGCATGCAACTTTGTGGGAGAGTGCGCAAAATAAAGCGGGAAACACATGTACGACGAAACCTTCCGATCCGAAGTGCGGACTGCCGGAATGACCTTGGGGGGAGAGGGTGTTCGTAGCATCGGAGAGCGTTGAAAACTCTCGCCTCCGACCGTCGTATTGCGCGGTCGGACGTCGGATCGGACGGTTTCGTCGTACATGTGTTTCGCGCTTAAACCGAGAGCACGACAGTCCTCCATTGAAAATCCACGATAAACAATCTCCGTCAGTTTAGCCGATCGCCAGCGGTCGCCCACCCGGAGTGAGGGTTCGCGGTGCTCCACATAGATGGCGCCACAGAAAAAGAGAAAACAGGGGGACACAATTCGGTCGCTCATTTGGCTCTCGTTTCCCCACCTGTCTATCTTACACCCTGGTCTCTTGTATGACGCATGAACATTGTGACCCTGGCTTTACGATGAACCGCGGACAACGCTACGAGCCATCATAAGCCAATCCAAAGCCTCGTGAGTGTCTCGTGAACTTTGAGAGGAGCACGGCGACGCGCGGAGCGAGTTGTCACGTGATGCGCTGAACTCGATTCGATGGTTATTCGATGAAGTGAAGAATTTTTTTTTTCACCTTCCGGGTTTGTGTATTTTAAACTCAACATATGGGTAAGCTATTCGATTTAAGAACGTGCTTCCCCGCCTTCAAAAGTTAATATACAAAAATCAAGACGCTGGATTTTTTTTTCTTTTTTGCTGATTTTGTTGTTTGTTTCACTTTCGCAGCAAATGCAGCTCCGCGAAGGCTCCGAGACCCTGGAAAAGTGGAGCAACGTGAAGGTGCCCATCTACATCTCCTTCCACCTGTTCAACATCACCAACCCGGAGGAGTTCGGCAACGGCTCCAAGGCGGTCGTCCAGCAGGCCGGTCCTTACGTCTACAGGTGGGGAGCCTTCAAGGCTACACTCAAACCGATCAGACACCATTCAGAACGCACGATGAGATATAATATCCGCGGACACTCCAGCGTGCTTGTAGCACGTTTGCTTTATACATGTATGTATGCTTCGGAGGCATGCCTGAAGACAGGATTTGTATGACCAGTGTGATTGTACCGTCCTACAAGGAAGGAAAAATTCCTTAAAGGCCGACGACCAGTTAACGCTTTCCTCTTTTCCCCCCTTCCTCCTCAACCCCACTTCTACCCTGTCCACCGTTGCCTGTTTCCTCCTTCCCCATGGCGAGGAGGATCTTCTGCCTTGCAGAATCTTGAGTCTGGTAGTCGGTCAAGAAAGGGGCGGGTTTATTGGCCAGGCTTGGGAGAAGGGGGGGGGGGGGGGGGGGAGGTTTTCCAACGAGATGTCAAGTCACGACGAAATTTAACATCGTGGATGAACGGATGTGTCGTCCCAGGCGGAGTAATTGCATTTTCACCAATAACGAGGCATTTTCATCTTAAAGAAAAATCGAATTTATGTCCTTTTTTACAGTAATAACAATTTTACCTCGAGGTTAAAAAAAAAAGGTGGGGGAGGGGGAAGAGAGGAGTCGCTTTCCTCCCCCTCCCCCCCCCCCCAAAAAAAAACAAAACAAAAACAAAAACCCAGCTTTTTTCTTAAAACCACTATCGCTTGCTTTTTTAACGATGCATTAGCATTGCGACAATGCAGCGCATGAGGACTTATGACCAATGGGCGAAGGGAGGCGTCCGGCATTAGATTTCAAACGCTGCAAGGTAGCAAGGCTCGGAGAACCAGAAACGAGTGCCTGGCACCGCGCACCGCTAGCTGGCACTCCTGGCACAGAGGCAACTAAGGCGCCTGATCTTCCAGCGCTCTAAATGGACGCTTTCGTGATACCTCTAGCGCCGTGGGCCGACGGCATTGTTACCACCCCGAGACTGCTGAAACGTAAAAAGTGTTATCGTTTGTCTTGCGAGTAGCGTAAAATGCGCCGGTGCACGAGGTCCGTGTCTCGAGCAGCCCTTGGAAGCAAATGGCGGCGCAGCACTGAAATTAGCAGCCCTTGGAAGCGAATGGCGGCGGAGCACCCGCTCGTGGCAACGTGTCTTGCACGTTTGCACTACAATGGCTGGCGGTACTTCTAAGCGCGAGTTTTATCGAGGGACTTTATTTACGCCATCTCCACAAGGGCGCAGCCATCTTTGAATGCCGTCACTTTTGGTATCCGTTAAAACATCGTTTTGATCTGCCCAGGCCGCTAGAAGGTGTTCACGAAAAACGCGTGATTGTCACATATTCTTGTTTTACATCACCTATATTTTCTCGCATATTCCAAGCTGAAATGTCTTATTATTATTTCGTCCAGTATACCCGATATGGAGCTCCACTGACTGAGAAGGAAAAGAAACGCAGAACGCATATTTAAAGGAACGGTGTCACCTGCTTACTGTCGCGCGCCCATATTTTGTTGCAGGTCAATTACCCTTCCCACAAAGCACTACACTATTAGCACTTTAGCAGAGAGGAGGCTGGAGAGAAGGCGAATGGAGAGGACGAAACCACCAACCGTAGCGAGCAGAGAACTTTGTGGGAGCGACTTGTCCTGCTATTCTAAACCTCCGGCAGAATATATAGCACGTCACAACGCTACATTGCGAAACCGAAGCAGTCAAGGCTTGACAAAACCGGATGACACGCAGGAATGAAACATTTTAAAGCGAAAGTCTTATATACGTTCCATATATGAGAAAAGGCGGCGTCGGCGTTGTGCTCGAAAGATGGCCATAAAAATACGCCATCAAGCACGCGCCCCTCAACGTCAATGCGGACGCGCCTCCGAAATAAAACATAAAGAAAAGCACAGCAACGCAGGTGCTTCGTGACGGAAGCCGTGGAGCCGGCGGGGGCGCCGCGCCACGGCAGTGGCGAGCGTGGTGTCACCGCCGGAGCGCCATGTGCAAAAGGAGGACGTGGCGCGCTCAGCACCCGGCGCGTCAGTTGCGCTTCGGACTTCTGCTCGATGCGTGCTTCGTGCGATGGATTGTGAGGCGACCCCGTCTACATCTGCGGCCTCGATATCGGCAGAGGCGTCTACATCTACGGCGGCTTCCGCAGGCAAACGTGGCCGCTTACGCGAATACGCCACAGCCGAGTGAGCAAGCCAAAGAATAGGCGAACACACACACCGAATACAAAACCGGCATAAACAATTTCAATAAGTGTAGAAACATTACTCGAAAATATTTCACCCGCGGGACTATCATGCTTTCGGATTTCTACACGTAAGCAGCTAGTCTCAAGGGTCTTCGGTGGGTTGTTATCCCACTACGGTGGTCGACCTTTTAGAACACAGAACAATAACAAACGAACAAAGAAAGTACGCGTCGAACATATCCAATCAAACAAACGGAATCTCCGATAAAACGCAACACGCGGGCCCATGCAAGGAATCCGACCGGCAGAACATAAATTTCCTTCTTACTTAAACACGCACACGCACACGCACACGCACGCACACGCACACGCACGCACGCACGCACGCACGCACGCACGCACGCACGCACGCACGCACGCACGCACGCACGCACGCACGCACGCACGCACGCACGCACGCACGCACGCACGCACGCACGCACGCACGCACGCACGCACGCACGCACGCACGCACGCACGCACGCACGCACGCACGCACGCACGCACGCACGCACGCACGCACGCACGCACGCACGCACGCACGCACGCACGCACGCACGCACACACACACACACACACACACACACACACACACACACACACACACACACACACACACACACACACACACACACACACACACACACACACACACACACACACACACACACACACACACACTATATATATACGTGCTTAACATTGACTGCGTAAAGCACGAAGTGCCTACGAGAGAAGAAAGAAAGGCATCAACACAGAGGGAATGATAGAACGTAGAGTAGAAGAAAGGCGTAAGCACGACGCAAGAAACAAGCAAGCACGACGGAACGCATTTTCCCGCAGCTTCACGCGACGGCAACGAGAGAAAATGTCGCCAGGGTTTGTTGACGGACGATGTGTTGCAGAAGCGAGTGACACAGATGGAATACGCGGGTCCGCCGCCTTCGTGCATACCGAAAGCGCGCGACCGGCTGATTCCGTAGGCGCGGAAAAGGACACGACCCTGCAAATTTGGGTTTATATTGCGTTGCACATAAGATCCAACCGCGGCCAATGCATCGTCACCGTCCGATTGCGGCATACAAGTGTCATGCTGTTGCCTGGCAGTCACGACCCTAAGGGCTCATTCACACTGGAAGCGGATCCGCGTTCGCAAAGCGGTTGCGAACGCGGTTGTATAAGGATTCAGTACAATTGCACGCGCACGCGATGACATCAAATGTGCGTGCAATTGCACTGGATCTTTATACAACCGCTTTCGTAACCGCTTCGCGAACGCGGATCCGCTTCCAGTGTGAATGGGGGGTTAAAGGGATACTGAACCAAGGAATTTAGTGTCCATAATAAGTCGGGCACGTTCTTTCCACGAGCCAGCAGCCGCCGGTGTGCGCGAGCACGCGCAACAAAAATGACGTTGAAGACCTCCATTCGCGGTTAAGATGACAGTGAAATGTATGGGCTTCGGGCCAAAGGAGGATAAAGACAAGTTTTTCATCTACACAGTGGTGTCCGGTGTAAAAGGTAAGCGATTAATTGGTCTAGCAAGCACGTAGCTTTCACTTTAGAGATGAAAAGCCTGTTTTTATTCTCCTGCTGGCGCGTGGAAAGAATGTGCGCCACTTATTATTGACACTAAATTCTTTGGTTCAGTATCCCTTTAAAGGGGTACGGAAAGAAAAATTTAAATATTCAAATTTCGTTCGGAAATGAGTCAAGCATGACGGATAATAACCGTAAATGATAATCGCACGTTTGTATTTTGAACGACCGGCTATATTTTTCGTTCCAAACGGTGCACTCGAGCAAGCGCTCGAAGAGAAGCGAGCGGAGAGCGCGATGCGTCATGGGATATCCGGCGCAAACAAAAAGAGAAAGAAAATATTCCCCGCATTCGTGACGTAGCAAGGCTGGCGTGGTTATGAGCTTTGCCCTTGGTGGCGTTGTCGGCGTTCGAAGTACCCGTTGGGTGACGAGGAGGAGGAAAACTTTATTCAAAAGCTCAGGTCCGAGCCGTCTTAATCGTCCGCACTGGAGGAGGAATCGTCTTGCGTGTGGCTGGCCCAAGGAGCCCGTAGTTTCCACAACACTGTCAGTTTAGGGCTGAACGGGGTGGGGAAAGCAACTTTCGCTCGAGTTTTGAGCGACGGGCTAATCTTCTAATCTCCACCATTCATTGTCTGGAAGGTAACCGAAAACATTTGTTGGCTGTCCTTTTTCAGGGCCTAAAACATCAAACGAAATATGCAAGAACACGACAGTTAAACTACGTTTTTCTTTGCTCATAATTTCATTCATCTGCCGTCCTGTTTTGCACATCGAGCTATCGAGCGAAGCACAAGCCATAGTTTCTTCGATCGCGTTGAAAAACAAAGCACATTAAAAAAAAAAGAAGAAGAATGTTTCGTGTGTTATCCATCACGCGCACCTAAGGGTGACTGGAAGTAGTCCTCAGTCACCGATACCTTTCTAAATAATCCCAGTGTCGCCACAACGGTTCGTCATATTCACAAATACGGTCGATATAGACACGACTGTTGCCCGCGGTCGTACTTTGCCCGAATACCACACCCGCGTCAGTCTTGCGGCCATTCGTTCTTTGCGCTTGGCGAATTAAGGCAACGACGAATAATTAAGTGGCGCTCCTTCATAAAACGAGATGGTTATGCGGCGGGGTCAGCGTTGCGTGCACAGCGCGCCCTTCGGTAAGGGAAGAAAAGTAACGAGCGGTGCTTGGGGCGGCACGACTTGACGATGACGGGGACATATACGACGATGAAGACGTGGAGAT